CTAACTCCACTAACACACTACACAAAGCTGCTGTGTAAGCAGCCTTATATAGTGTGGGGCGTGGACTTAGCCCGTGAGCCATGATTGGCCAAAGTCCCCAAGACTTTGGCTAATCATGGCTCTTACTGTAAACTCAGCTGTGATTGGCCAAAGCATTGCCCCAGGCCACTAGAGCGCATTGCATTGTGGGGCGTGCGGGCAAACAGCCCACCGAATGCCCCAGATGTTCGTGTGTGTCCAGCAAACACATGACCATCCAATGTTTCGACTCAAACATATAGCCCATCCCTACAGATAAACTGTATAAATCCACTTTAAGACTGCCACTGGGACAATATATATGAAGGCTGCAGCTTGTGGAGCAATTGCCATATATAATATGATCTTTAACACGGTCTTCTTAAATGTTGGGTTCACTTACACAATTCCCTTTTAATTTGACAGATTTAGCTTCCATTGATTATATTGGCATTTGGGTTCCGTATACAAATTTCTTTAAAGTTCGTCAAAGCCTAGCAGTTCGGCTCATCACTAGTTTAGACATCATGTTTAGCTACCTAATACAATTAATCAAATGAAAGTATGTCTAAAGCTAGTTTGTTTGGTTTAGATGGAGTAGAGAATAGTTCCCTGTATTTTTTTTTTTTTCGTTTGTTTTGCTTTTCATTTCCTGTCTGAGACAGAAGAGAGTTTTCTCTTCATTTCCTGTCTGAGACAGAAGTGGGGGATAATGTGTCCCTTTTCCTGTTTTAATTAACTCAAAATTTTGGATTTTCATTCAATTTCATTCCTGGTGACAAGGATCTCAAGGACAAATAGGGCAGGTAAATTTCCCTAACATGGAGACAGACAGCAACAAAAACTAACAGGTTTCTAACCCTTCGCCACTCTTCAAAACTTGAAAAAATAAGGGTTTGGGTTTACATACATTTTCAAGAAATTTTCTATATTTTAAAGTGGAACTTCACTCTCAAACAACATTGACTATTTTTAATCCTTATGCTGCTAGCATTAGTAAATAGAAAAACATATCATATTTACTTGTTTTAAATATTTTTTTACATTTCTTCAGTTATTCCTGGTTTCAGTGCCTAGGCAAATGATGTTATACATCCCAGCCGTCTTCAGGAGGGGAGAGTGTCACGATCGCGGCGTCAAACCCCAGACCTTCTCACCAAACTCATGACCGAAGGACTAGCCGATTTAAAACCGCGATGTCACGTGCGTAACAATGCCACACCCAGGTACACCCTGCACAACGATTTTCCAGCTAATTGGACCACAATCGATGTACCGGCAGCCTGAGCGATTGTTACTGGGTCAGGTTAATTATGCAATTAACCCTTCACACTGCCACCAACTCCTTTTTGTACAGAGAAAGAGGAAACTCGGCGATATCAGCTAAAACACTATAATGGGTGCGATAATCGTCTGCATAATACGGTCACCGCAGGCCGATTATGCAGATGTTTGAACAAACATAGTAGCGTTCTCTTTAGAGGCAGGAATTCGTAAATTGCAATAAAGCGCTATAGAAACAGTTCAACACTTTCAGAAGGAAAGATTTATTACTAAAAGGTCAAACGGGTGCAATAAAAATATTTACAGAAAAAGATGTAACTAAGATATATATACAGAGACCAACAGCACAGCAAAGAGATATCAGAGAGAGGTGAAAGGGTTAAGGTACTTGCCAAAGTCCTGGGTTAGCAGATCCAAGTTTCAGAGCAAAAGGGCACGGGTCTCCCCAAGTGGTATTGATGTTAAAACGGGAGACGTCTTCAACTCCCACTCTTAGGCCTGACAGCCTTTTTTGTATTCCCCAGCAGGGGTGTCTCTGAAGTCAAGGACCAATACCCCGCTTAGGGCGTGGAGGTATGGGTGGATACCTCAACTAGAGCCAAAATCTCCCGTAACTCATATTTTGGCCCATAACTTTCCATCTGCACAAGTGACATTCCACCCGCGGTTAGATTATTATGCAGACAAGTCTGAGGATTGATTAGATAGAAATTATACACTGAACAGTTCACAAGATCTATTTGTCTGCTTTCCTATGTGTCCGAGACAAGGCAAGTGACCCATCAAACTGTTCGCCTGCTCATCGCCCATCTGAGGGTATGCCTGGTTTTTATGTAAGTCTCTCATATTCCAAGATATGAAACATAGGGGAAAGATGGATTTTAACAAAGGTTATCTGATTCTGTCACCTACACTGAGTTAGGTTTATTAGGTTGGAATCTCTTTCAACTCCTGGGAAAGCTTGCCTTATCTCTTCTGAGGTGTTAAATTGCACAGGTTCTTTGGACAGCTAGGCCCGACTCAGAGAGCTGTTTTATAGCTCTGGGCTCCCTGCTGGCTCTAGCCTGCCAGTGACCCACAACCAGATGTCCCTGTGGCTAAACAGAGAGGAATGGGGAGAATGAGGGGGGAGATATGTTTGTCAGGAAGGTTAACCCCTTTGCCAAGATGGAGGTTGAAGCCAAGATGGTTGAACCGCGTCCATCTCTGGGTATACGCTGTTACAGAGGGTTCTCAGCTCAGCCAATGTCTGTGCTAAGGGCAGATGGATTCCAGGAAGTAGATGCTACAATATTCATCTGCCCTTACTCAAGATGGCCACTGCCAGAAATGCCAGGGAATGTTTTTCAAAACGTTTTCTTGGCAAAATAAAGCGTGGAGACATGAATGGATGGATGAGTTTACTTTGAATATTAACAATAAATTAAATTTTTTGGTTTGTGGTGATCAAATACAGTGCAGTTCCACTTTAAAGTTGAACTTCAGGTACAGCTTAACCACTTGCCCTCCAGAGGATTTACCCCCTTTCCTGACCAGGCCATTTTTTGCAATATGGCGCTACATTATTTTAACTGACAATTGCGCGGTCATGCAACACTGCACCCAAATTAAATTTATGTCCTTTTTTCCCCACAGATAGAGCTTTCTTTCAGTGGTATTTGATCACCTGTGCATTTTTTATTTTTTGAGCTATAAACAAAAAAAGACCAACAATTTTGAGAAAAAAAATATTTTTTACTTTTTGCTATTAAACATGTCCAGTAAAAAAGCCGGAGGGGAATCACCAGCCGGGACCCGGTAATCAACAGCTGAAGCCGCCAATGGTGGTGCTAGTAGGGCGTGCGCCTCCTACCCAGAATTGCGAAATCACGTGTATATATATATGTGATTTTGCATAGCCCTGCCACCCTGTACCATTATTTCTGCTATAGGGCGGCGGGCAAGCCCACAGAAAATTACCAAAAAGGAAGCCCTGGAATTGGAAATGTTAGGAGTCCTGAGAAGAGTCAGAAGTGCTGGCGGCTCAGGCTCTCAGCAGCTCACAGTCTGAGCCAGCTGCTGGTCCAGACATCTGGGTGGATCCCAACATTATTGTCAGGATCCCTGCAGAGCCTGGACCAGTTAAGTGACATCAGCCAACAGCAGACTTTGGCTGGCTGTTGGCTGAAAATGGGTCACAGGAGTGCAGAACAAAGAACACTCATGTGATACATAGGACAAGTATGGAAAAAATAGCTTTAGCTATACATCTCCTTTAACCGCTTCCTGTCCGCCCTATAGCAGAAGCACTGCTACAGGGTGGCATGGGTGCACAAAATCATGTGTATATATATGTGACTTTGCAGTTCTGGGTATAGGGCACGCTCCCTACCCAGGTCGCCATTCGCGGCCTCAGCTGTAAATCACCGGGTCCCGGCCAGTGATTATTCACCGCCACCCGGTGATTGCCGAGCACCTCAGACAAGGGGGAGAACTGTTTGTAAGCAATACAGATCTCTCCTCTGTCAACTCCTGCACACTGCTTTTCATGGCTGTGCATAGTACAGTAAAGCACATACACAGCACACTATGTAAAACGGAACACAGCACACAGTTAACCCTTTGATCGCCCCAGATGCTAACCCCTTCCTGTCCAGTGCCATTAGTACAGTGTCAGTGCTTTTTATTAGCACTGATCACTGTATTGGTGTCACTGGGGATGTCAGTGACACCAAGTCAGTTCCCCTCAGAGTCAGAATGCTCGCCGCAGTCCCGCAATAAGTCACTGATCGCCACCATTACTAGTAGAAAAATTTTTTTTAAATACCAAATACCAGTATATATGTCGCCATTTGTAAACGCTATAACGTTCACGTAAACCAATTAATTTACACATATTGGGATTTTTTTCTAGCAAAGACATGTAACAGAATACATCTTAGCCTAAATTTATGACAAAATTTTATTTTTTAATTTTTTTACTGGACATGTTTAATAGCAAAAAGTAAAAAAAAATATTTTTTCTCAAAATTGTCGCTTTATTTTTAATAGCGCAAAAAATAAAAACCGCACAAGCAATCAAATACCACCAAAAGAAAGCTCTATTCATGGGAAAAAAGGACGTAAATTTCATTTGGGTGCAGTAGTGCATGACCGTGCAATTGACAAAGTAATACAGCGCTGTAACACAAAAATAGCCTGGTCAGTAAGGGGGGTAAATCCTCAGGAGGGCAAGAGGTTAAATATAATTCTTAATTTTTACACAGTGTCACCCTTAAACAGGGGCGGACTGACAACTCATGGGGCCCCCAGGCAATAGGGGATCATGGGGCCCGTGTCCTTGCCCAAACTCAAAAAAGCCTATGAAAAAGGTACCAGTGGCATCTCATGGGGCCCCCTACTGACCCCGGGCCCTTGGGCAGTGCCCAAGTTTCCAATTGATCAGTCCACCCCTGCCCTTAAACCTCTATGAGAGTTCAGTGACTTCTTTTTAGGCACTGACAGTATTACACCAACTCTCCATCTCACTGTTGTCACCAATGACTAATACAATTCAGGAGCAGCAACATCCACCTCTAGCTGCTGCTCCACAGAACACACAGCGCAGCCAGCCAGCCCCAGCAGCATGGCTCTTCCAATACACAGTCGCGCTGTGATGACGTCAGAGGTAAGCGGCGGAGTGACACGTGAGTGAGTGTAGCTGGAGGCCGTGAGCTAGGATGAGTTCTGAGGTGCAGAAAGGGAAGAAGAGAGGGAAGGCTCAGTACCTGGGCAATGCCAAGCGGCACAAGGGCGGCAAGCAGCTGGAGGTTGGCATGCAGGGCATCCTCATCACCTGCAACATGAATGAGAGGAAGTGTGTGGGAGAAGCCTACAGCCTGCTCAACGAGTATGGGGACCTGCTGTATGGGGCTGAGAAGGTGGGTGACCACACACTGCTACACCCCCACCACATGTCTGGCTATATTGAGGGCCGCTGACAAACCAAACCATTTCTCTTCTGCTTTTGCGTCAAAAAATGTGATCATGTATTCTTCACGCTAATCCTGGTCTGGTGCGGTTTTTAAAATGCTGCTTGCTGCATTTCAGGTGCAGTGAAATAAGCGCACCAAAAACACACCTCCCCATTGAAATAAATGGAAATCATAGCAAAAAATGCCTAAAAAAACACACCGCCTTGTGTTTTTGGTGCAGCTTTTGAGTCATGTCCTGAAAAAAAAAAACTAAAAATGCATTTTTTTTGCCACGGATCAGTGTGAAAGTAGCTTAGCGCCACCTACGTTTCACATTGATTTGGATGGTGCAGTGACATGTTGGGGTACATTGACACTTGCAGATGTACCCCATGACGGTTACATGAGTCCGATCCCTGAGTGGGTGGGGAGATGTTAGCTGTGGGAGGCAGCTCCATTGAAAGCAATGTGGGGCTTCTGGCCCTCGCTGTTGATCACTGATGGATCCATCACCTGCAAGTGATCATTCTTGGATGTAGACTGTCCACAGAGCAGATCACAGAACGCTGTGTGAGGAATTACATGGGAGCTGGCAGTTATCTTGGAGTCAGCAGCCTCCCATTGCTTTTAGCCCTGGTTCACACTGATGCTGTGCGGAATTTGCAGCGTTTTCAGTACGAATTCTGCACTGCATCAGAATCGCACCCCGTTCATGCGAACCGCTGCGGGTGTGTATGTTAAGTTAACAACACCTTAAAATTGGTCCGCAAAACGCGGCGCGATGTGCAGACTCGGATCACATAGGTGAAATACTTATGCGATCTGATTCTAATGTGGACCAAAAAAAGGGTCCTGCACGTTTTTGGTGCGTGTGCGGTGGTAATAGAGCCATACAAAATGTATGACTCTAATCGCACCGCACACAAATCGCATGTGATTTGCACAGGAATGCGGTGCGGTTCCTGTGCGAATCACATGTGATATGCCGCACATATGTGAAGTAAACTCCCACTGGACGCTGGTACCTTCAGGTGAGCATATAATAAAACTTATCTGTAGGTACAAGAAATATCTCCTAAACATGTCCTGTATAGGAAATATTCAGTGTCCCTGCAGCTGATGATGTCACCGGTGCATGGCAGCTGATGTCACCAGTGCATGCGCTCTGAAGGAACAGACCACCCCCTCCTTGCTCTCCTCTTTCTCTACAGTATTTGGAGATCCACGAGGCAGTGTCAGCTATTAACAGAGGTGTCCGTTTATGAACTAGCGGTAAATAATCGCTGCTCAGTTCTCCTGTGAATGCCTTTTATGAAGCGGTGTAGATCAGTTCGAACGAAGGGAGAATGGTCTACAAACACTGGAAAACGGTTGCTTTTACTATAATCTTGCGAGATTACAGTAAAAGATCAGTTTACTAAGCAGAGGTAAATTATTGCTGGTTTGTTTTCGGTTCCTCCGATTCTCCAGCTCTGGGCTGGAGAATCTGGAGGGAGAGCACAGATCTCCAGTGAAGGACTGAACATGTTCTCCGCTGATCTCCTGAGTGTCAAACTGTGAATGACCAGAGAATAGCTGCGATCCTCTGAATCACAGCTATTCTCTGTGTCATAAATGGACACCAGAGTTTGACAGCTCTCAAACTCACTCCTTCGCTATACTGGCTGGGGGATTCTAAATGATCATCTACATCATACACTTGGAATTTTTTCTATGTTGCGATCTGCAACAAAGTTGTTTGTCAAGAGTTTACTCTGTATGGAGATCCAGGAGGCAGTGTCAGCAGTGTCCACCATTAGCGGATTTTGACAGCTGTCAAACTCACTCCTTGCTTATGCCGGCTGAGGGATTCTGAATGGTCATCTACTTCACACACTTGGAATTGCTTCTATGTTGCGATCTGCACCAGAGCTGTTTGACAATAATTTTACACGTGAGTGTACTATTTTTTTAATTGTTTAATAAAACTACATGATTTGGTGACAGAGATGCTTCGCTGCTGTTCTTTTGTTTTGTCAAATGTAACTATATCCTCAGACAGTTGTTCTCAGACTTTCACGTGTCAGGGTTTAGTTAGCTGGTGTTTTTTTTTGTTTGTTTTTATTACAGTATATGTTCAGCCGAAATCTAACATCGAGCAATGTAAGATAGAAAGCATTGCACCTTTGATAGGACTCTCTTGCCATCCTCAAATCCCAAATTTGCTACCTGAAATAAGAGTGTAAATGCTCACCTCTTGTGCTGCCCTGTTGAGTATTCCTCCCTCAGTCTGCTGGAATCTGACACTTGGGAATGATGATCCCTGAAAGCAGTCAGTAATTTTTCCACTGATCTGCAAGACAATACTTTTTCATCCTGTAGGGACATGGATTTTGGTAGAAGGAACCATTGAGGGCTGTGGTGGACATAGGAGGTGGACACTTCTGGGAGTATTAGTTGCCCAACAGACTTTGGGGGGACAAATACTAATCAACATTGTCTTTTAGCAGTGCAGGAAAGGTCATTATTCTACACTTTTTTTTTAGGCAGCAAAGTCTGCATTTTTACATCATCAGGGTTGCTTTCCTCAGGGGATCCTGTTCTCATCCTAAATAGAAAAAAAAAGGTCAGCAGAAATATACAGGGCTCAACAAATACAGGTCGCCATGGCAGCTAGAAATTGTGTCCTGGCGCCTGGGTTCACACACTGTCTTCCACTGACTTGAAGTCAAAATTGCGTCCCCTTGACTTCGACGCAAAATTGTGGCCCATTGACTTCAGTACAGAATTGCATCCCATTGACTTCAGTGCAAAATTGCATCCCATTGACTTCAGCAAAATTGCATCCCATTGACTTCAGTGCAAAATTGCATCCCATTGACTTCAGTGCAAAATTGCGTCCCATTGACTTCAGTGCAAAATTGCGTCCCATTGACCTCAGTGCAAAATTGCGTCCCATTGACCTCAGTGCAAAATTGCGTCCCATTGACTTCAGTGCAAAATTGCGTCCCATTGACTTCAGTGCAAAATTGCGTCCCATTGACTTCAGTGCAAAATTGCGTCCCATTGACTTCAGGGCAAAATTGCGTCCCATTGACTTCAGGGCAAAATTGCGTCCCATTGACTTCAGGGCAAAATTGCGTCCCATTGACTTCAGGGCAAAATTGCGTCCCATTGACTCCAGGGCAAAATTGCGTCCCATTGACTCCAGGGCAAAATTGCGTCCCATTGACTCCAGGGCAAAATTGCGTCCCTCCAGGGCAAAATTGCGTCCCATTGACTCCAGGGCAAAATTGCGTCCCATTGACTCCAGGGCAAAATTGCGTCCCATTGACTCCAGGGCAAAATCGCGTCCCATTGACTCCAGGGCAAAATCGCGTCCCATTGACTCCAGGGCAAAATCGCGTCCCATTGACTCCAGGGCAAAATCGCGTCCCATTGACTCCACAAAATCGCGTCCCATTGACTCCAGGGCAAAATCGCGTCCCATTGACTCCAGGGCAAAATCGCGTCCCATTGACTCCAGGGCAAAATCGCGTCCCATTGACTCCAGGGCAAAAAAAGGGCAAAATCGCGTCCCATTGACTCCAGGGCAAAATCGCGTCCCATTGACTCCTGTGCCAAATCGCGTCCCATTGACTCCTGTGCAAAATCGCGTCCCATTGACTCCTGTGCCAAATCGCGTCCCATTGACTCCAGGGCAAAATGTGTCCCATTGACTCCAGGGCAAAATCGCGTCCCATTGACTCCAGTGCCAAATCGCGTCCCATTGACTCCAGTGCCAAATCGCGTCCCATTGACTCCAGTGCCAAATCGCGTCCCATTGACTCCAGTGCCAAATCGCGTCCCATTGACTCCAGTGCCAAATCGCGTCCCATTGACTCCAGTGCCAAATCGCGTCCCATTGACTCCAGTGCCAAATCGCGTCCCATTGACTCCAGTGCCAAATCGCGTCCCATTGACTCCAATGCAAAAACTGTCAATAGCAATCCTATGTAAACCCTTATCTCAGCATGCCACTCTACTCTACTCTGGAACGCACCGCTGCAAACTCACACAGGACCCTTTTTGTAATGGCACTCAAAACCCAATGCTTGTGGATCGCACTAGGAACATATAATATATGTTGCGAATCTGTGAATTTGAAAACGCATCCAGAATCGTATATGTGGGTGAACCAGGGCAGCTCCATTCACACCTGGGCATTTTGGGATTGTCAGTGATTGCAAAATGCAGGTTCAGGTGACATTATTTTCAGTGGCTCCTAAAACATGGTGTGGTTTTGCCATGATTGTCTCCTGGCAAATTGCATCACGTGAAGCTTGTCGTCCAAAAGTTGCGCCAACAACCCACGCTACACTAACAAAACAAAAAAAAAAAAACTGGGTCCTAACTTTTTTTAGCTGGCTCCTAGATTTAAAACAAATTTGTCAAGGTGTGTGATATATATATACACATACAGGGGCATCTCAATAAATTAGAATATCATCAAAAAGTTACTTATTTCAGTAATTCAATTCAAAAAGTGAATCCATATATTATATAGTTACACAGAGTGATATATTTCATTCTTTTAGTTGTGATGATTATGGTTACAGCTAGTGAAAACCCAAAATTCAGTGACTCAGAAAATTAGAATATTGTGAAAAAGTTCAATATTGTAGACTCACGGGGGTTTATTTACTAAAGCTGGAGAGTCCAAAATCAGACTCCCTTCTGCATAGAAACCAATCAGCTTCTAACCTCAGCTTGTTCAATGAAGCTTTGGCAATGAAACCTGGAAGCTGATTGGTTTCTATGCAGAAGGGAGTCTGATTTTGGACTCTCCAGCTTTAGTAAATAAACCCCATGGTGTCACACTCAAAACAAAAACGCCTGTAAAGGTTTCCTGAGCCTATAAATGGTCGTTCAGTAGGTTACACAATGGGGAAGACTGCTAACTTGACAGTTGTCCAGAAGACAGTCATTGATACCCTCCACAAAGAGGATAAGTCACAAAAGGTCATTGCTAAAGAAGCTGGCTGTTCACAGAGTGCTGTATCCAAGCATATTAATGGAAAGTTGAGTGGAAGGAAAAAGTGTGGTCGAAAAAAATAATATATATTGAAATCAAACCTACGCACACTGGCTGCTTTAGGCATCATTGCACTTTTCAAAAGTACTAATGGTATATGCGCATTGTTGTAACTCTTTATACCAGTGGTTGTTGATTTATGAGCTAAAGGAGGCTTCCTTTATGTAATGCTTGAGAGAGAGTGCCGCTGAAGGCCAGAACAGAGTGGCTACAGAACAGGAAAGTATAGCGTTTTTTTTTTACAGGGATAGCTAGGTTAGGTTTATAATGTGTCTGTGAGTAGGTTTAGTTGCCATTCACACTAGTGTGTTCTAAATCGTGGGCGGCATCGCTGCAATTCTGCCCGCGATTTGAAAATACGCGACACCCAAAAAAGGTTACGGAACCTTTTTGGGGTGTTGCACATCCTGCGATTTTGTTTGCGCGATCATGGCACGTTTGCCACACAGGAAAATCGATACGATCGTGGAAAAAAGGCCCTGCATTTTCAGGTGCCATTGAAATGAATAGCACCTGAACAGACGATCATGTGTTTTCACACTTTCACAGCGTGTTTTCAGATTACAGGCAGAATCTCGACGATTCCGCCAACGATTTGAAACACTCTATTGTGAATGGAGCCGTAGAGTTAGTTAGGTTTTGCCTTTACTTTCCACTTTAATTTATACTTGTAGGCGGCCTGGAGGTCAGTTACACAGCCTCATAGTTGTTTATAATAGGCATAGTAAGTAAAGAAGTGTTGTGGGGTTATAATTTGCTAATTACAGTAAATAACAACAAACAACATTTAAGTTTTAGGCCCTTTTCATACGAGCGGACCGTTTGGGTCCACCTGTCCGTTTTTCAAACGGACCCGATCAGCGCTCTCTATGGAACGGTGGGTGTAAACGGACATGTGTACACCTGCTTGCATCCAACACGATCCTGTCCGCTAAAAACAGACGGATGGGGATCCATTCCCCATCCGTCTGGCGGATTGGATTGGATGACAGTCAGATGGAAACAGAGAGGCGGTCCGCTTTTATTCAACAGCCCATAGAGGACAGCATGCTGTGTTCTTATCCGGTCTGCATAAGTGAAGCGGACACGGACCTGTCATCCGCTTGCTGAGCGGGCAGATCCTCTGCTGGGCAAGCGGATCCACTGACGGGTCTGCCCCATGTGCAAGGGGCCTTATCGGTAGGTTTACTTTGCCTGTTGCTCCTTTTTTCACCTGCTGTATTTATCTGATTTGTATGTTTCGGTTGATGCAAATAGTGGGGATTGCAGTTGTGCAACATCCAATAAAAGATATTTTTTGCGCGTTATTTTGCACTGCTCTGAAAAAAGCCCAATCCAATTAGTCTACAAATAATGGCAGTGGTAAGGAAAAATATGTTCTTTTTTGTTCAGCTAGGTGAAAAGGATGACATGGCATCAGGCAGTGAGGAGGAAGAAGAGGATGATGATGATGTTGAAGTGGCATTGAAAAAAGAAGTTGATCAGATACGCACATCAACAGAGAAAAATCTATGCAGGTTTCAGTCAGTGGAGAGTGGAGCCAATAATGTCGTCTTCATAAGGACTCTAAATGTTGGTAAGATTTCTAATATAGCACTTAAAGCAGACCTGTGCTATGAACATAGTAGTGTACTGGTCAATATCCTTTTATCTTAACTGTTAAGGTTCTATGGATGCCACCATCTGGGAGAGATGGGGGGGGGGGGGTGGAGGTAAGAAATGTCTGGGAATTTTTTTTCTAACCTATTTAAATTTTAGCAAAATAAAATCTCTACTATTGTGGGATTGGATGTGTAGTCATCTTGCCTAGTTCTGCCATATTTTTGACTAAGGACCATAGTGTTATATTTATTGTTTTTTTTTTTTTTGTGATATGTTACTCTATAGAGCCTGAGAAGTTGGTGCACCACATATTAAAAGATCTGTTCACCACAAAGAAGAAGAAAACGCGTGTGATCCTCCGTATGCTGCCTGTCACTGGTACATGTAGAGCTTTTCCTGAAGATCTCAAAAAGTACGCAGAGACTTTTTTTGAGCCTTGGTTCAAGGCTCCCAACAAAGGCACCTTCCAGATAGTGTACAAAGCAAGGAACAACAATCATATGAATCGAGACGAAGTCATTAAAGACTTGGCAGGTATTGTTACCTAAACTAACCAACAATTGATGACCTATCTGGGAGAATGAAACATTTTTGTTTTCTACCAGTTTTACCGGAACTGGCATGTATGTCAGGGAAACTCTGAGCATACTTAAGTGCTACTGATCAAATTTGACACTGCAAAGGAACTATTATGATTGGACAACAAACTGACAATCAACAATAGGAAAAATCTGCATTTGTACAACAGATAGGTTTGAAACGGATGTTGAATTTTATCGCTGGACGCCTGGGACATGTAGTCTGGGTGTCGGGCAGGTAGCTTTTTTTCAACCTTTAGCCCTGCTGCGGGCAAACAGCAGGGCTGACCTGTTAGGTGAAAGCGATCGTATGGCAGCGCTGCCACCCCATTTCTTTCACACAGTCCATCACAGTGCCAGCGCCTGCTCTCCAAGTCTCCCAGGCTCCGCTTGCCCATTTGCAGGCCCGGGACTGGCTCAATGTGCACCAGCGGCTAGAGGGGAGGGAGGAGAGCAACCGCATCCGCTCCCCTTCTTGTCCTGACCCGGAAATGACGTTTGACATCACTTCCAGGTCCCCGTTCGCAGATTTTCCGGCCATTGAGGCCGGGAAAGAATGTAAAGCAGTGTGATGTACACTGCATTATATTCAGGGGAGCACAGGGTCTTTTAGACCTTGCATGTCTCATTAAAGAGTACCTGTCACCGAAAAATCATCACATAAGGAACTTTTTGCCCCCTATGTGTTGGGGGGAAAAAAAATTAAGTTAAAAAAATTTTTTTTTTTTATTAGTAAAAAAAAAAATCAAAGTTGCACCCAAGCACATAACATCCTGTCCCATAACATTTTTGAGCCCCCCCCCCCTCACATATACGCACGTAAAAGAGAAAAAGCACGCCCCGAGGCGCCTACGCATGAAAATGTTCATTGCGATACACATGTTACTTATTGCCGCGCACGCCATAATGAGAGCAATATTTCTAGCACCTACAAAGACCTCTTCCGTAACACTATACTGGTGACATATAAGGGGCTTTAAAAGCATTGCCTATAGAAAATATAGGGAACTGAAGTGTGTCACTTTTTCAGCAGCGCACGCAAATTTAAGGTTTGACATGTTGGATATCTATTTACTCGGTGGAAACTCATCTTTTATATATTACCAAAATAGGGTAATTTATTGCTTTTTTGTGTATTTTGTACTGAAATTTTGCATTTCCTAGACCTTTGCGGTATTATCGTGCAACATAAAAAATTGGAACTATTTCTTTTTTATTCTCTAGGGTCTTTGCCTTCAAAAAATATATAATGTTTGGGGGTTTTGTGTAATCTTCAAGCCTAAAATGATTTTTTTAACGTGCATAAACAGCTCTGGCAGAAAAAGGGATAAAGGATAAGCCTGACACTCCCCTTTCCTGACAAGCACCCAATCGGTGCTCATTACACTGCAAGGTCACTCCCTTCCTTGCTAGTCCCCAGAGGCGGTGCTAGAGAAAGGGAGGGGAGGAGGAAATACAGCGCAATGTTAAAAAAATTAAATGTTTATGTTGCCATAAAGCCTCTTTTGATTTTAAAAGCCCCAGACATTCCTAACAGCACCTCAGATTTAAATACGGTTTTGGTTAAAAACATTTTTTTTTTCTTTATCTGGACAAGCAGATTGTCATGCAGGAAAAGTAGATTGAGACCCAGATTTAGTCCATGGACAAGTAGTTTTTTTAAAAAATTTCCACATCCTTGATAAAAAAAAAAATGTTCAATAACCACTTGCTGTCCAGGAGATTTACCCCCCCCCCTTCATGACCAGGCTATTTCTTGCTATTGGGCACTGCGCTACTTTAGCTGACAATTTTACTATCATGCAATTCTGTACACAAATGAAATTTATATAATTTTTTTTCACATAGAGTTTTCTTTTGGTGGTATTTGATCAGCACTGGGTCTTTTATTTTTTGGCACTATAAACAAAAGACTTTTTGCTATAAAACGTATCTAATAGGAAAAATAAAATGTTTTTATAAGTTTAGGCCAAATTGTATATTCTGCTACATGTCTTTTGTAAAAAAAAAAAAAAAAATTATCTAAGTGTATATTAATTGGTTTGCATGAAAATTATAGTGTCTGCAAACTATTATATATATATATATATATATATATATATATATATATATATATATATATAATATATATATATACTGGAATTTTTACTTATTTTTTCATACTAGTAAGGGCAGTGATCAGCAACTTACAGCAGGACTGTGATAGTACGGTGGGCATTCTGACACTGGGTGGGAAATGACCAACGGCCACTGACATTTCCAGTGACTCTAATATAGTAATCAGTGCTAATTAAAAGCACTGACACTGAACTAATGGCACTGGGCAGTAAGAGGTTAAAATCTGGAGCAATCAAAGGGTTAAATGTGTGTTGGGGAGTGATTTAACTATGGACTTTGTGGTGTTTTACTTTGCAGAGAGATAAAAAACCATCACGTCCCCACTGACAGGAGAGAGATATGTGTTAATATCTATATGTGTTGTCATCTATAGGAGCCATGACAGCATCACGTGTGTACAGTGGGGCAAAAAAGTATTTAGTCAGCCACCAATTGTGCAAGTTCTCCCACTTAAGAAGATGAGAGAGGCCTGTAATTGGCATCATAGGTAGATCTCAACTATGAGAGACAAAATGAGAAAACAAATCCAGACAATCACATTGGCTGATTTGGAAAGAATTTATTTGCAAATTATGGTGGAAAATAAGTATTTGGTCACCTACAAACAAGCAAGATTTCTGGCTCTCACAGACCTGTACCTTCTTCTTTAAGAGGCTCCTCTGTCCTGCACTCATTACCTGTATCAATGGCACCTGTTTGAACTTGTTATCAGTATAAAAGACACCTGTCCACAACCTCAAACAGTCACACTCCAAACTCCACTATGGTGAAGACTAAAGAGCTGTCGAATGACACCAGAAACAAAATTGTAGACCTGCACCAGGCTGGGAAGACTGAATCTGCAATAGACAAGCAGCTTGGTGTGAACAAATCAACTGTGTGGGAGCAATAATTAGAAAATGGAAGACATAAAAGACCACTGATAATCTCCCTCGATCTGGGGCTCCACGCAAGATCTCACGTGGGGTCAAAATGATCACAAGAACAGTGAGAAAAAATCCCAGGACTACACGGGGGGGGACCTAGTGAATGACCTGCAGAGAGCTGGGACCAACGTAACAAAGGCTACCATCAGTAACACACTACGCCGCCAGGGACTCAGATCCTGCAGTGCCAGACGTGTCCTCCTACTTAAGCCAGTACATGTCCGGGCCCGTTTGCTAGAGAGCATTTGGATGATCCAGAAGAGGAATGGGAGAATGTCATATGGTCAGATGAAACCAAAATAGAACTGTTTGGTAGAAACACAACTCATCGTGTTTGGAGGAGAGAGAATGCTGAGTTGCATCCAAAGAACACCATACCTACTGTGAAGCATGGGGGTGCAAACATCATGCTTTGGGGCTGTTTCTCCGCAAAGGGACCAGGACGACTGATCCATGTACAGGACAGAATGAATGGGGCCATGTATCGTGAGATTTTGAGTGCAAACCTCCTTCCATCAGCAAGGGCATTGAAGATGAAACGTGGCTGGGTCTTCCAACATGACAATGATCCCAAACATACCGCCCATACCGTAAGAAGCATTTCAGGGTCCTGGAGTGGCTTAGCCAGTCTCCAGATCTCAACCCCTTTGGAGGGAGTTGAAAGTCCGTGTTGCCCAGCGACAGCCCCAAAACATCACTGCCCTAGAGGAGATCTGCATGGAGGAATGGGCCAACATACCAGCAACAGTGTGTGTGCCAACCTTGTGAAGACTTACAGGAAACGTTTGACCTCTGTTATTGCCAACAAAGGATATATAACAAAGTATTGAGATGAACTTTTGATATTGACCAAATACTTATTTTCCACCATAATTTGCAAATAAATTCTTTCCAAATCAGCCAATGTGATTGTCTGGATTTTTTTTCTCATTTTGTCTCTCATAGTTGAGGTCTACCTATGATGCCAATTACAGGCCTCTCTCATCTTTTTAAGTGGAAGAACTTGCACAATTGGCTGACTAAACACACTTTTTTGCCCCACTGTATGTATGTATGTGTGTGTATATATATATGTGTGTGTGTGTGTGTGTGTATGTGTGTGTGTGTGTGTGTGTGTGTGTGTGTGTGTATATATATATATAGTGATTCTGTGCAGAGCAGAAGCCCTGTAACAGTACAACTGCTACAGGGTGGTTGCCAAGTGGTAAATGACCTTATAATACCTTTAAATTTTGACTGCGTTCTCATTGATGGATCTTTCACTCACTGTGCTTGACCTCCAGAGGGAACAAAAACATTGGTGATTACATGTGTCATCCATCCTCCAGCCCAAAACAAAAATGATAGTTTTGGATTAGATGACACGTTAAGCTCCATACTTCATATGTACCTCAGTATTGCTATAGGAGGTCAGAAAAGTTTTGGTCTCTGACTGCTTACTGTGACTTTTTTACTTTCAGAAATTGTTGGCAGCTTAAACCCAGAGAACAAGGTGGACCTCAGTAACCCAGTGTTTACGATTGTGGTTGAAATTATCAAAATCGTTTGTTGTCTGAGTGTAGTGAAGGACTATACCTTGTTCAGGAAATATAACCTGCAGGAGGTAGTCAAGACCACTAAAGAGGAATTTCCACAACAACCAGCAAATGATGACAAAGACAAAGCACAAGAACAGAGCAAAGAGGAGCCTGTGCCAGCCACTGACACCTAAAAATAACAAGAAAATAATTCAGGACTGGAGGGACAGAACACTAAGAAAATTGCCACCTTTCAAGAGTTTGAGTGGAACTTGTGACAATTTTTAGTACTCTCCTGGCTTTCGCTCAACCATTTTCAAGTCTGGAAAAATGGACTGCTCTAATTTTAAATGATAGTTTAACATTGGGTATGTTGGTAGTAGTATATTAGGCTAGTCTGCAAACTGTAACTGTGGTGTCAATTGCTAAAAATTACCAGTTCTATGTAGTGTTAGTAACTGAGTTCACTCCTGGCTTCAAGAATAGTGAGCCCATTAAGTCAATATTGAGACAATCCTGATACTTAAGGGTTCATCAAGTTCTGGTCTGTGTTGGACAAGGAAGTTAACTGTAATGTGATCAATTCACTTTAGAGCTGCTGATCCACCACTCAGCCCCCAGAACACTTATAGATCCAAAACTTCTACCTTCTTGTCTTAGGCTGAGCTTTATTCCTGAATGGAGAAACACAGACCAGTGAACCAAAGCCATGTAAAATAGCATGTGTGTTATAGATGGCCCTCTCCTTATATTTGCTTAATTTCCCTTTACTTTCCCAAAATAAAAACTTGTGACTCAGAGAACTACTGAAGTCAGTGGACCACTGGCACCTCCCATATTTTATGTTGACTGTTGTATGTTAAAGTTTAGAGATGTTAAAGGTAAGCTGTTTTCACTTTAGAATTTTTAATTTAACAGCAACTTCCATGTAATTATATATGAGAGTACATCTGCATTGATTTTTATATATTCTTTTATTTTGGAAAGCCTTGCACTTTTGAAGCAGCTTGTTCTTTCTACTTTTCTATGTCATTTTGTACCTATGAACTGGAACGTTTGTTATTGTAAATTGTATTTAAAATTAACCAGACAGGTCATTGTATTTACTGCCATCTTGTGGTCTTTTAGAGACATTTTACTCTTGAAATGTTTATTCAAGTAGATGTATGTATGTATGCATGCTTAAGGTAAATGTATACATGCTAAGTATTGTGTAAATCTTACAAGTATTCAATACTTTGAGATTAGTGTTCTTCCCAACACTGGTTTAATTCTTTAAAAAAAAAAAAAGAGCAGTCTTTGTTGAGGTACTATCCAGAGTCAGCATTTCTTCTTGCAAAGGGGTACGAGCTCACGAGATGATGCAGCCACATAATTCCTGGTGCCTCTATGGTTCTTGGCTGTGTACACAATATCCAAAACAGATTAGCACCTTCTGTAGCTTCGTACTTTGTGACATGGCATCATCTCAGCCTAGGCAAAGTCGCTTGCCTAGAGCACAAGGACTTCTTTTTATTAATAAAAGGTACTGATTTTTTGAACGTATACTCTTGTATATTGTGACAAGTCAGAAATATCATTCGAAAAGACTTGTATTTCAAAAGTTCATTTTCCAGTGTGATAATTAAACAGCAAGCTGCTTCATGTTAAAATGTAACACTTTTTACTTGCATTGATGGCTGTTGATTTTCTTGTTTTTCATTCTGATCTGTAGCAACATAATTATATTCAGGTCACATATCAAATTAAACACATCATTTTGTTTTACTAATATATGGTCTCGTGAGTTAAGCTAACAAACTTTTCTCTCCATAGAAATATAACAATTACTAATAAAAGCACTGGATTGCCAGTTTGTTTTGTTTTTGTTTTTAATAAAAAGTGATTTTTTTTTTTTTTAATATTGCTTTTGGTGTGTGATCTAGCTTTAAACCTATTTCTGTCATTGTAAGAGGAATACTATGAGGATAAGTAAGTCAAAGATCCAGATTTTCTCACAAAGAGGCCTTTATTACAGTCACAAAAACACATAAACAAAATCTTAAAATGAACCTTTAAGGATAGAAATATTGGAGCTGTCATTGTTGACCTAATGTGAAGGTGCGAGATTCAGGACTGTGATACTAACTCTCCCTTTACTAGCTGATGCATCACTGACCTGGAACATAAATGTGCACTATATCTGGTGTCCAGGTAAAACAGGTCAGAAATGACAGCTCCTATATATCTCTTCCATGTTCCTTTTGAGCACAGTCAGGCAGTGCTGTATAAAGGATGTGCAAAGTGCAGAAATTCTTAGCAATAAGTAAGAAAGGATCTCTTAGCTGGCTGCAGTAATCTGAAATTTGGTTGTTATGGGTTACTGGCCTTTGGATATCTGTACTCCACTGCCTAATTAAATCAGGCTACTTGCCTCTTAAAGCTGAACTCTGAGCCCAAAAACTTTTCATTAAGTGTATTGCTCATAAGTGACAAAGGATATAAATAAAGGCTCTTATCAATGCTCTGATGAAGAGAGGGGTGCTTGCCTAACACTTGATGGGGTTGCCCAATAAAATGGTCACTGAGCATTACAAATGCTGGAATGTCAATGCAATCTCTACTCTATTATCTGACCTTTTAAAAAAGCTTCCATTTTGACAAGAAACCTGCAGTACATTAGAGAAATATGTTCCCACAAATCAGTTCCCTGCAAATCCTTGTTGCTTTTTGCGCTGCCTTATAAATTAAACTCATACTGGTACTGAAATGACAGGGACTGTACAAAAATTTTAACTTTATCATATGCCATCAGTCTGATTAGGATGGGTAAATAAAAGGGTTAAAATGATTACTTTTCCTGTAGAAAATTCTGCTCCAGGGTCTTTCTAATGGTGGCCCCATGACCAGACACCTAGGAGTTGATTTACTAAAACTGGAGAGTGCAAAATCTGGTGCAGCTGTACAGGGTAGCGAATCGGCTTCTAACTTCTGCTTGTTCAATTGAGCTTTGACCAAAAAACCTGGAAGCTGATTGGTTTCTACAGAGCTGCACTGGATTTTACACTCTCCAGTTCTAGTAAATCAAACCCTTAGTAATCATGTCATCACCTAGTTATCTTGGGATCAGTGCTAAGGCCATATGCACACTGGATATTTTTGACACTATTCTTAGGAGGTGGTTTTTTCCTTCCCTTCCTCTAAATGCCCCTGTGTGTTACGTTTCTGTGATGTAAAAAAATGAGACAAAGATAAATCGGGTCAGAATTTTTTCCACCCTTTAATGTGATCTATAAACTGTATAACTCAATTGAAAAACAAACAGAAATAAACATAAAAAAACAAAAATAATGCGGTTGCATAAATGTGCACACTCTCTTATAACTGGGGCTGTAGCTGTGTTTTGAATTAAGCAATCACATTAAAAAATCATGTTAAATAGGAGTCAGTACACACCTGCCATCCTTTAAAGTGCCTCTGATTAACCCCAAATAGAGTTCAGCTGTTCTAGTAGGTCTTTCCTGACATTTTCTTAGTCACATCTTACAGCAAAAGCCATGGTCCGCAGAAAGCTTCCAAAGCATCAGAGGGATCTCATTGTTAAAAAGTATCAGTCAGGAGAAGGGCACAAAAGAATTTCCAAAGCATTAGATAAACCATGAAACACAATGAAGACAGTCATCAAGTGGAGGAAATATGGCTCAACAGTGATAATACCAAGAACTCAACGTTCCTCCAAAATTGATGAAAAGACGGGAAGAAAACTGGTCTGGGAGGCTGCCAAGAGGCCTACAGCAACATTAAAGGAGCTGCAGGAATATCTGGCAAGTACTGGCTGTGTGGTACATGTGACAACAATCTGTATTCTTCATTCTTCTGGACTATGGGGTAGAGTAGCAAGATGGAAGCCTTTTCTTTCGAAGAAAAACATCCAAGTCTGACTAAATTTTGCAAAAACACATTTCAAGTCTCCCAAAAGCATGTGGGAAAATTTGTTATGGTCTTATGAAACCAAGGTTGAAGTTTTTGGCCATAATTTCAAAAGATATGTTTGCTGCAAAACAACACTGCGCATCACCAAAAGAACACCATACCCACAGTAAAGCATGGTGGTGGCAGCATCATGGTTTGGAGCTGTTTTTCTTCAGCTGGAACTGGGGCCTTAGTCAAGGTAGAGGGAATTATGAAAAGTTCCAAATACCCATCAATATTGGCAAAAAACCTTCAGGTTTCTGCTAGAAAGCTGAACATGAAGAGGAACTTCATCTTTCAGCATGACAGTGACCCAAAGCATACATCCAAATCAACAAAGGAATGGCTTCACCAGAAGAAGATTAAAGTTTTGGAATGGCCCAGCCAGAGCCCAGACCTGAATCCGATCGAAAATCTATGGGGTGATCTGAAGAGGGCTGTGCACAGGAGATGCCCTCTCAATCTGACAGATTTGGAGTGTTTTTGCAAAGAAGAGTGGGCAAATGATTTATCTTTGTCTCATTTTTTTTACATCACAGAAACCTGACATGTTAACAGGGGTGAGTAGACTTTTTATATCTCCTGTAGCCATTTAGAAGAGTTTAGAAGCAGAAAGAAAAACACTGCCAGTGTGTCCGGGAGCAGCAGCGTTTTTGGCAGAGAAAATTCTTGACGCTTGTTAATGCTAGGCATGTTTAACGCTTTAGTTTTATTTCATTTCAGTGACCAGAATGAATAATTATTTTCTGCCAATAAAATGAGTTAATGCTCAATCGCTTGAGGTGTCTAAATGCAGTTTACAAGCGTCAAGCATTTTTTTCTGCCAAAACACATGCCAGGAGGAAAGACACCTAGGAGAAATAGTAAAAACATCCAGTGTCAATCTACACACTGATTCTTACCTTCTACTGAGGTAACACCACCAATTGTCTAGGCTTTTGGTAATGTGACCAGTACTGAAGGGACAATTAAAATTGTTACTCTTTATCCATTCTCAACAATGACAATTTTGTTCATTCCTTGATTTTTCTTTGTGCTTATCCATGACAGTGTATAAATGGTACTTGCCCCACACTCTAGCAAACAACAGAAGTTGTGATATATAAATCTTGTTAGCCTGCATACAATCATTTTTGTAGATATATAGACCATGCAGGGTTGAGCTTGTATACAGCTCTGGAAAGGTACCAGAAATCTGCAGTGAAAAATAATAGAAAAAATTTCTTCAAGGTTTATAAACAAT